ATGCTTAAGCAATACAGGTATTCCCCAGTTTAAGAACGAGTTCAGTTCCCAAGGCCTGTCCATAAGTCTAATTTGTATGTAAGCCATAACCTTATTATTGTATACTATTGTATAAGTAGTATTGTGTAGTGAACTCGAACCATTGTGTATTTAACTTTTACTATCAGACTTGCACGATTCTGTTAATGTAGCCTTACAATAAAGTAGAATTAGCTCATATGGTTGTGTTTCCTATCTGGTCTACCTAGTAAGGCTGACAAATTACTTTCAGTTTAGTTCCTATCCTTTTCCCTAGTTATGACGTTAGTATAACTGCTCATTTAGAATTTATTTCTCTAACAGCATGCAAAAATTACAGGTTGCTAACTACAGCATGATGCCTGCAAGGAAGAAACAACATAAGATATATCTCTGCGTTATATGATACCAGTTCCCAAGCAGTGCCTATGGACAATTAATCACCATATCTGAGGGACCATTTAGGGAGTGCTGACTATTCACCAAATAGTTGATTCAAAATAGCCACATATGCAGACCCAAAGCAATAGATACTGAATTATAATCACTCTCTATTTCTATTGATGTCTACTTAATTGTCTTTAATTTCACAGATACCAAATTATACCTTAGATAATAATCTAATGATATTTAGGATTAAGGTAGGCATGTACAGATTGAAATACCCTTTTTTTAAAAAAAAATTTTTACAGCAGATCCAGCTAATTCTAAATTTGACTAGAACTTTTCTTCTACCTTTCACGGGATTATATATTTCTTTAGATAGCTAGGTCTTTGCATAATGTATCAGGAATATGATAATTTGAGTTTGGTCAATTGTGCCTCAAGTGAAAACTCTAGATTGATTTGTTCTATGATTCATTCATTCATTCATATACTTCTTATAACAAGGTGGCCTGCTGACAGGAATACTAGTCTGTGCGATTATGGAAAGACAGCTTTGTTTCCTCTCTGATAGTGATTTCCAAACTATCTTCATTAACAGGCTAGAGGAGTATATGCATGTGGCAATACAGAATATTATCACTATTATTACCAGTGTAACCTGTGTTATTTATCTAAAACTAAGACATAAAGCTAAAATAATAACATAAAAGTAGGTTAAAATAACCTAACATCCATCCATCCATCCATATATCCATCCATATATCCATCCATATATCCATCCATATATCCATCCATATATCCATCCATATATCCATCCATATATCCATCCATCCATCCATCCATCCATCCATCCATCCATCCATCCATCCATCCTTATTCAGTGTTGTTCAAAACTTACCCACAGTTATTCTATATTAAGGGTTGGGGATTGTTTAGCTTGGATCTTTTCTTGCTGGCAGCATAACAGAATGTGCAACATCCAGGGAGGTAGAGTCTCTTTGATCGGAAAGCAGTGTATGTATGTAGAAAGTATCAGAATGACTTGGGGAAATCTTGATGGCCGCTGGAGATTTCAGGTTTCCAAAATTATAGCTTTACCTGCCCTCACTCTAGTACCTTCACCCTCAGTCCAGTCAGGCAGAACTTATGAAAACAACTGGAGAGGATCCGAATGATCATTTTGTTGAATGCAGTGAGTCACAGGACTCTCTGCTCTGGGGCAAATGAGTATACAGTATATAGATTATAAGTTGTGTCATCAGGCATGGGGGCCTTTGGGAACCGGAGACATTCTTAGATAGCTCCACTGTAATTGATATTCTGCTCTCCCCGTGGGGCTTGCATATTTTAAAATCTAATTTTTTAAAAATTTGTGATAATGTTTTTATTTTAAAAACTTTTTAATCTTTTTAGAATGCTTGCTTTTATTCACTTGTTATTTTATTTAATTGTTGTATGCCACCCAGAGTCACTTTATGTGACATGGGCAGCTATATAAATGTGACGGATGAATCAAAAAATAAGAAAATAAAATAAAATAAAATAAAATAAAATAAAATAAAATAAAATAA